ACAAATACTATTCAACTTTCTGTTATCATGCATTGGTTTCCCCCATATTTGAACTTTATATGAATGGAGTCATTTAATACTTGTGGTTTGGTTTTTCTGGCTTTTTTCATTAAATGTCATGTTTGTAATATTTGCCTGTATCATTGTGAGTGGTTGTAAACAGTTTATTCTAGTTACTGTGCATTATTCTGTTACCTGAATACACCACTATTTATGTAGTCAACTGTTGATAGGCAAACTGAGTATTTCCTCGTCTGGGGCTTTTGTGTAGTGTGTTGCTGTGAACAGTCTTGTACATATTTTTGGTGAGTATTTTATTGGATTTTATATACATATATTCAGCTGTAGTAGATACTATCAAGCATTTTACCCAAGTGTTGGTACCAGTTTGCACGCCTACCAGCAGTGTATGAGAGTTCTATATTCTCCATGTTTTTACTTACAGACACTTGGTATTTTTAAGTCCTTAATTGTGCATAGGTATTGCAAATAAATTTTCTCACTCTGTAGCTTATCTCTTTTCTCAAATGTGTGTGTGTGTTGGGAAAGAGAAATTCCTAATATTAATAAAGCCAGTTTATCAATTTTCCCTCATTATGCTTCACACTTGCTGTGTCATCTTTAAGAAACCTTTGCCTATTCCAAAGTCATCAAGATATGTGTTCTTATGTTCTTATTTTATCTTTTATAGAAGCTTTGTTGTTTTCTCTTTTATATTTCTATTTGCAGTCCCTCAGGGATTGCTTTTAGTTTGTGGTATGAATAAAGGATGAGTAGTCACTTCTTTTCCTATGGATGGATATCCACGACCCAGGATCATGCAGGGAAAAGACCTTTCTTTCCCATATACTTTGCTTTGTCACCCTTGTTGTATATCAAGTGACACTACACTGTCTTATGTATGAATCTGTCTCTGGCTCCTCGTTTTGTTCTATGGGTCTATTTGTTTTTTGGTTTTTTTTTTGTTGTTGTTGTTGTTGTTTTTGCTTCAAATACACTGTCTTAAGTGTGTATCTTTATAATAGTTCTTAATGCATGGTGTAAATCTTATAACTTTGTTGTTCTTCTTTAAGATTATCTTGAGTATCATACCCTTTAGTTTTTTTAGGAATCATGCAAACTGTGCATTAAACAGGATTCTATGAACAGTATGCTATCAATAAATTTTATGAGACTAATTGGAGGCAAAAGAGAAAAGTGATGCTGAAAAAAAGCAAATCAGAAAGATGAATGCTTGTTGGTTAGTTTATTTTGATTTTGCAGATTTCGAAATTAGAAGGTGTTGTACAGAGAAACATTCCAATGGGGCTTAATAAAGATGAACTAAAGTGATGTTTGAAGTAGGAAATTATGAACACAAGGAATATCCATCATTATCAAATTGTGTACTGAAAGAAAAGTTTATGTACAGTTAAGGATATAAAATGATAAATCTCAAAAAAATTAAAGAGTGAATAAACCTAGAAGTAGATATCTGGAGAGGATTCCATTTTAAATGAAATATGATTAAAATCCATGTAGAAAAAAGTATCAGACTAGTCTTATTTTAATTTTTAGCTTGTCTGTCATTTTCCTACTGAGGGACCCACAAAAGAAAAAGCTTAAATAGAACGAAGCTCTTGACCCTGAATTGTAGCTCATGGCCTATAGTACAGGCACTGAGAAGAAAAACACACGAAGTAGATGACATTCCAAGTGATGGGAATTGCATGCATTTTTGCCTCATAAGAGGAGAAATAGGGAAATATAAAGAAGCAAACATTGTATTTCTTGGAGCCCATCAAGTAGGTTTAATAAATGTTTACTCGTTGTTTTGTCATTATGACTCCTTGCAGCCTTATTTAGAAATGCATTCATGTGTTTTCTAATTTAAATCCATAGTATCAATCAAATATGATAGTTTCAGCTTGCAAATACCTGAGCAAAAGCTGAAGAGGGCTTAGATAAGTTGAACATATTGAAAAATGAAGCTTCCAACCATGGAATCGGTGAGGGTAAGAAATAGTTTTATTTTATGTGGTTGCAGGGAAGACGACCAATTGGCATTTAAAGATAGTTTCCATAGCTACTGGGCTGAATCAAAAGAAAACACTGTCACAGCATTTTCTTCTTTACTACCTTACTGCTTTATGGTAACTACCAAGACAAGTATTTTTCAGGAGCTGGTTATTACGTAGATGAAATGCTGTGAAATGTTTCAATCTAGTGTCTTTTAAGGGAGCAGACTCCCTTTATTGTGAGCGTCTGGTCACACATCCAGGATTTGACTAGAATTGTCATTCTGCTTGCCTATTTGAAAAAGATTTGTAGAAAAAGTTCTCTCCAGGTACAATTTGATTGAGCAGCTCCCCGCCTCTGCCAACTTAAACTCTATTTTGTGACTTAAAAAGTGGGAGCTGTACTTGAATTATAGGAGAATCCAGCATTTGCTGCTCTTGATCTTTTTTTTTTTTTATTTGAAGAAGAATTTCTCAAAGGACCCTGAAAGTGATTACTTTTGACTTTTCATTATAATATGGTTAGCAAAAAACACCAAACATTTAAAATGTAAAAGAAACATGACAAAATCTTCCTTTTTATTTTGAAACAAAAACTACGCATTGTGGTATATTGTATAATTCTAGTTTTTATAATCGCCTTAACATTTGCACTAATGATGCTCTGATCTTTTGTATAAAGTACTCTATCATATAGGATTCCTATACAAAAAAACTTTCCCAATATTGACCAATAAGTTATGAGAGGAAGAGAAATAGACATTCACTTTTGCTTTATTGTTTAGGTGTCTGACAATTTAGATTTGTGCATTCTTATCTTTATTGATTTTCAAAAATGTTTTCCTATTCATTTATATTTCTTTTAGAGATGATAGATCACAGCTGACTTCTAAGAAGGGTCTAGCTGGTAATATATGCAGTAGCAGTACTACTTCAGGGGCTACACCATGCATTAGCATGGTTAAAGGTGGCACCTCCATCAGCCACTCACCCCAACCACTCTTAATAAAGTCACAATCCAAGTGAGAAGTATGCCCTGGTTCAGCAAATGCAACTTCGAGACAAATAGATGGCTTCCTTATTCCAACCAGACTGCTTCTCTAAAGCCTGCTGTAGAAATTCTAGAACCACCTTTGTCTGTCTTTGTGTGTCCCCTCCATGCTAGAGCCAGTCTCTTGCTTTTACTTTTTTTGTTGTTGTTGGTGCAAGGCCATCTCTCCTTTATTATGGTAGACTGTGATTCCAGGAGCAAGTCAAATTTGATTTTTATAAATGCTCTGTCAGTTGTTTTTATTGTTTAAGAAAAAGAAAACAAAGTATTTAAGAGGTTGGATCCTGACAGTGTTGGTTATCTTCAGAAATTGGATATGTAATTCTCCATAGAGATTGAGCTCTTTTGTCTTGATCATTTTTATTTTTTATATCTAGGATATCCCTATATCCATATCACTCATCTCATCCTGAAATTCATTTATCTAAGAGACAAGCCAGGAAAAGACCTATTGGACAAAACATATCCTGGGGAATATGGTAGAAGGAGGACTAGTCTCCAGCAGCTACCACTGGGGAGGAACAGAGAACTATGTGGCACAGTGGATAAAAGTAGAGGAGAAAAAGCCATTTAATCCTCAGAATCAGAGAAGAAAGGATCACCACAGACAGCTCTATCTCATGTCTCTGGGAACTTCGGTTGGAAATGAATGTCAGTCCCAGAGATATGACTTGTTGTATCCATTGTGAGGACGAGATAAATGCCTCTATTTATAAATACAAATTACATTTTGCAAACATGATGTAAATAAGTCTTCTTGGGAAAATCCAAAAGTCACATTCCAGGGATGGAAGTCATCAGTGATTTTGATAATGTTTGTAAAATACTTTGAGCTTCTCAGCTGTAGTATGAAATGTGAGTGTATCTCTACATATGCATTTTTATCTGTTACTGATGAGTTACACTGCTGACTGAAATAAAACCCAAAAGAGGGTGAGGAAGAGAGCTCTTTGACATTTACAAGCAAACAATTTCTGGAATGAAGTTCCAGAAAATATCAATAGTTGTTTATAAGCACAGCATGGGAATGTTTCATGCAAAAGCTCATGAGTTTAATGAAAATGTTTAACTTGCTCTGTAAAAGCCAGTTTTCTCTGCCTGCTGGTCCCAGACTTGAAACAGAAAGTAAAGCCTATGTTGAGGGTTCACTTCTAGAATAAAGGAAATGTTAAGGTAAGAAAACTTAGAAACTCATCATTTTTTTTTAGATATTCTGAAATTTTGGCAAAACTGCCTTTCTTTGAAATTAATGTAAAGAGGAGGGTAGGTGCAAAGGAGCATGATGTAACAAAATGCTTTTCTATGAAATAAGATTAATCTCCTATGTTGAATGAAAATAGAGGCAAAAGACAGCCGTCCAGTGAGTCCTTTGTAAATCACATTATGAGGGCTTGCTTAAAGCATTCACCTAGTTTTCTATATGGAGGTGGTTGGTGGAACCACCATATGCCAGCTTGGGTCTGGGCCAGGGAGGCACACAGGAAGGCTTTTGCATTCCAGCCGTCCACTCTCCGCCTGGCGAAAGCACTTTTTGTGGAAGTGGCCAAGTTATTTGTACACAATGGGAAGCTGAAATTTCATTTCCACATGAAATTAGTGAATAATGGCTTTCAAGACTCACTGAATAAGCATGCCCAAGACACAGTCAGCATTGTAAGTCTGTACGGGGCGCCAGCCATCTGGATGAAAAATAAATCAGTTATGTAGCTACTTTGAGGGCATCAGGGGTAGGGCATGGTGAGGGCAAAATGTGTGGACACTGTACTGGAGCTTTTGCTTTTCATTGGGGCTTTGTTGCGGCCAAGGTTTGTCACTTCTGTGATTCCATGTCACTTCTGTACCGGTCTAATTTACTAAGCCTCATATGCATATGCTTTGATCTCTAATTATAATGTGTTGGCCATTGTGTATCTTTTTAATGTCTTTGTCTTACTATTTCATTACATTTATTTTTACCATTTCTTAAAATATATTTAATTTATACATTAATTTTGGATTTTAAGCTCCAAGAGAGTAGTTGTTTTATCTGCATGGCTGAGTTCATAACTCTAGAAAGCATAACTCTAGACTAATTATTTTTCAATGATAATGAGATTTGCCTTTTCCCCAAATTGTGATCACAGAGTCTCTTTTTTCTGCCGATTTAAAGACTAGTTGTTAAAATGTGATTTGAGAAAACCTGGTTTTATTTTTGGTAAAGTAGGATTTGAAAAAATAGGGGCAGATTTATTTATTGTTAGACATTAAGACATTGCTAATTTGCCTACATATAATAATTAAAGCTAAAGCATGGAAACCAAACTGAGAGAAGCAGATGGAAACATCCCCTAGGTAAATCTGAACATTTGTTCTCAAAAGTGGAACAAGTGCTAGCAAGATGTATAATCATTTTATTTCAGTTATACCTGATTTTGATTTAAAAAAATGTTGGCAAAGCAGTGTTTCAATTTTATTTATCATGGTTTGATTTCTTTCAAAATGCTTTTGGAATTTAGTGTGTGAACAGGGTGTAAATGAAAGGGAACAGAGTTTGAAGAAAATGGGATAATGTGCTGTAAAATAATTCTTTGGTTTGAGATTTTTGGGAGGGATAGGAAAAAATCAAAATCTAGCTGGTGCCATCAAATGTCTTGATTGTCCCACTGTCTGGTTCTATAATTGAAAAGGTTAAGAATGTACAGGAAGAAATGAGGTACCAAGAGGTTTCCTTAATTTTCTGGATTCCATGGTATAGTATTTCACAGAATATATTACTCAAAATATGAACGAGGATCAGAACTACTTGTTTTATACTCTTGTAAATTTGTTGATGTATGTATTGCTCTGATAAATGGGCCATCAGCTGGAATTTGGCTAGTTCACTGAAACTGTTAGTTGTAGTGGGGTTTGGCTTGCAACTTTATAGTGTAAGTGATACACATTAATTAATTTTGAGGCAGCTGCTCATTAAAAATTTCTTTCTAGTAAACATAATAAGTGAACATATTTTGGAAGATGCCAGCACATAATGTATTAAATGGATTTTGATAAGTGGATTTGGCCAATTAATTTGATTGGCAGGTAGGAAAAATTCCTATTAATGGGAATCCAGCATGATTGACTATACAATATAAAATAGTATTTTAAATCCCTGTTTTAACATTTAGGGATTTTATGTATAACATAAGAACCTCATAAAGGACTTGGGGTTGGTTATTAACCTGGAGTAGAAGATACATTTCAAGGTAGCATAGAGACTGAGGGATTTGGAAGGGGACCTCTTTCATCCATTCCTCTTGCTTTGTAAGGAGAGAACTGAGACCAGAGAGGTTGTGACACTAAATAGTTACATGGTATAAGAACTGGAAGCACAACCTTGGCCTCTGACACTTTAAATGTTTTTTGTTTTTTTTTCAAACCTCCTGGTAGGACATGGCTTCATGGAACCGTGTCTAGGGAAGAATGAAATCAGGTGAGAAGTTACTTATTTCCCGTTCGTTCATTTGGAAATAAAGAATATTTTGTTTTGGGAGTATACACAGAAGGGATGCTTAAAAAAGATTTTGGAGTCCTTTCTGGAATTTGCTTAGGAAAGGCTAGACAAGTGTAAGTACCGGATGGCACTGATTGAAAGAGAAGAGATACAGAGCAAGAAGACGATGGTGAGACTGTCTTTTAGAACAGGGATGCAAGCCGTTCCATGAGAAGGGGCTTCTTTTCTCCACCACGAGACAGAGAGCCTTCTACAGTTAGTCGTAGAGAGAGCCCCACAGCCTGTGTGATCCCCCGAGGGCATCCGGACACTCTGACAGTGATGCCACCAGAGGTCCTACCAAGTGCTGGGCTTGTGGCTGTTGCCTTGGCAATGGCCTTCCTGGGGCGTTGAGTTCTGTCAGCTGATCTTTTTTCTCTCCAGGAGCCAAACAGATGAGCTGCTCAAATCCCACACCTGGGAAAGGGCTTAGCATCACACATATATTGTATTATAAGCAGAGTGAGATGGGAAAAGAATAAAACAGGTGCTAATACAATTAAGGTGTCACTTTTCTGAGCGAAACTAGAGTTAAACTTTCCATCACTTGCCCAAGCCAGTTAACCTCAAGATAAGGGAAATCGTGTTCTGTCTTGCCTGCGAGCACAGGAGGAGTTTTCATGGGCCCAGAGTGGTGGAGCTCGTCTTCCAATGCCTCTCCCAGCCAGGAACACCACCGGCAGGATCCGGACCTTCTCATTCTGGTTAACTTGCTTACTTTTGATTAGTGGAGGTTTGGATGGCAAAAGCGATTTGAGGGTGAGAGAGGTTCTGGTACAATCCAGTCTAAATTAGTGAGGGTCTCCCTCCTGCCTCCATGGAATTGTAGCTGCATTATCTTTCAAGTTTTCTTTTAAACTAGAGCTGAATCGGTAAACTGGCCCCGGGAGGAGCCTTCAGGGTTGAGATTGAGGCATCTTTTAAAGGTTATTTTCAAAGCTCTAGCCTCTCCTCAGTAACATTTTTATTTGCAGTTGCATGTCAGTTGTCTTTATCACCTTGTAATGCATTTGTTTACGCATCTGTCTCACCCACTAGTTGATGAGCTTCAGAAGGGCTGTCTGTGTGTGGTTCTCCTGTGGATTTCTGATGGCTGGCCCAGAGTAGAACTCCATAAATGTGTGTGGAATTAATGAATATTGAATGAATAAGTAAGTTGCATGTAAATGGGTGCTTTCAAAGTTTTAAAGTCTTTTTCTTAAATTGTTAATACAATGTTCTTAAAACTTCAGCTTCTTTTAATATCATTTATCATCTTTTTATTCTTCTAATATTTTTATAGAACAAAGAGAGATACCTGTTCAGGCTCTTGATTCTAAATTAATTAGATCTGAATTAAAGTAGTCTTAATTCAGTCCAAGAAAAAGTTACTTTTTATACTTGTGTGCAAAATTGAGAAATAGATCTCTCTCTGTTTAGGAATATGACAATTTGTCATAATTAATCAAGGTACAACTTTTTATTATTTTTAAACTAAACAACACATTGATATTCCTAAAGAAATTTTTCTAGATTCAGCAAATAGGAGCATTTCTTGGTGAATTTTTACTCTTATGTGGGCTTTGTGTTGAAACCCTCCCTGTGTTTGTTACTATCAGGACAACTTTGTAATTAAAACCTATCGAGGTAATAGACTTGTCACTAATATGCTCAAGTTTGAACTGTCATTTTAATTAGATTTGTTTGAACGGTTTATGAATAAAAGGCTGTGATTTTCTAATTAGTAAAATTGATAGCATATTTTCTGACAATGTTAACCTGTTCTAGAATCCAGATGACTTTTTATTGATTATAAATGATATCTTAATATTTTCTACTTCTACTAAGTGATGCATTTAAATTATATTTCATTTTTCCTATCATCTTATATAAAATATAGTGGATTTGAGTTTGATATTTTTAATTGTGTTGTCAGACTCCTAAGGGAGTACTCTTTTTACTTGTAGGTAGGTAAATTCCTTGAGTACCTATTTCTGTTGGTTACTTCAGGTTATTAATCTACATTTTTTTCAGAACCTAAAAACAACCAATGAGGCACGTACACTCAGTTCTCATTATTGTTGGTAGTTATGTTCTATGGAGTCACTTTGAATAGGGTTAATCAGTCTATATTTATGCCCCTAGTTGTTAATTGGCCTTAAGGATTTATGTCTATATTTATATAAATGCTTACTTAATAATTAATTCTAAATATGTTTATTCCCTTGTTCTTAACATCTGTCACTCATCTAAAAAAGCAAAGTCATTCTTTAAAATTTTAGTAAAAAAAGTAAAATTTTAGGTCACTTCTTCTCTTGCCTCCCTTTTTTACATTTCTTGTAAAAAGTATCAGTACCTGAAAAATCATAATGAATCGAAACAGTTTAACTCTTAGCCTAGGACTGAGAGACAGGACAGAACAGAAGTGAACAAAATTGAAAAGGATCTTAGATTTTGTTCTTGACGGACTTCTCTAAATATGAGCAACATGTTGAAGAATACACAATGCTCAGTACTGGAATGAATGTTCCAAAAGCTGCCTTATCCCTCATGAGTAAGCTTATTTCTCTGTGCTGTGGAGAACTAAACCTGCCATTTTTCAAGGCAGCCCCATCAGGATCTAGTGAACTTATGGTCTCATAGTTTGATCAGAATCATGTACTAATATATTTTGTTTAATGACTATTTTTATTGGGAAGCACCTCTATGTGTGTTCAAGTCAACTTTGTTGCTAACTCACCACATGCTGTGTGGAAGCCTTGAAATTCTGCTCTGCACTTTAATTTATCTAGAGGTCATATGTCATGGCCATCAGCCCTTTCAGAAATTGAAGTTCTGTCCCTGAAACTTAAACCTTCCACTAACTGCCACACTTGAAAATCCCCTTCATAGGAGCCTGCCTTTCCTGACATCCTGGACTTCCCCAAATCTGGAAGTTGTAGCCATATCCTGTCACAACATGCTTCTCTGAACTGCCTGCCGGCCTTCCTCTCTTGAGCTCTTACGAATATCTGCTATACCTTGGAGCTTGTGTCTGCTCCCAGGTTTTAGCCTTGTTGTCTGGCCCTTCTTGCCACAGTCCCAATGGGTTCCTGGGATCATTGTTGATATGATGATGATTCCACAGCAAAGTGAAATTTCCGTTAACAGCCAACAGTTAGGTTCCAAAGAAATTGCCTCTGTAGGTCATGTGGCTAGAAGGAGTAAAATGCAGTGGTTTAGATTGTGGAAGGTTCAGTTGTAAATTCAGATTCCTCATCTATACAAAGGAGAGATTTGTAAGGATTCAATAAGATAATGCGTGCGAAAACATGTAGGATAATAACTGCCACAGAGTAATGGCTTAGTAAGATATGAGCTGATTGTGTCACAGAATTTTTTTACTCCTTTCCCAACTGTAGGAAATTATCAACATAGACTTTGGAATACTTTATCAGATTGTATTTAATATATAAAATTTCTGGTATTTACAATGTAGTTAAGTATATATTATATATATGAAATTATGAAATAGGTAATATCTATATTCAACAGATTGTTTATAAACTTGGACTTGAGAAAATTCTCTATTTTGACTTTTTAAAAAATTTCAGTATGGTATAGCTGTGTGTCAGCAAAAAAATATAGGAGTGCTGGCCAGTTATGAATATAACTATTTATAGAGTCGGACAATATATTTATGCTTGTAAAAAATGGGTATTGGTAAGGTTGTGAACCCAAGTAGTGTTTAACAGGTTCTGGCTTTTGGAGGGCAAGGACCGTGTGTGTGTATTTTTCAAAACCCTGTGTCTTCCATGTTGATTTGCATGTAATAGGTCAATGAATATAATGTTAAATGAAGAACTGCAGGAGTTTTATCATCAGTGTTTCCATTGTTTCTCTCTAAACTTTCTTCTTTTCTTTAGTGTTTTCTTTCCCCCTAGCCACATATTGGCATGGGCTGATTTTTGCAGCTTTGCAGGTTTTTCCAGGAAGCATCAGTTATCCATTCTTGGACTCATATAACAGAGAAGCCAGTCAGTTGAATAAATTCAGTGTGGCTCCCCCTGCAAGTGCTTATCTTGTTCACTGGTTGCTTTGCAATTGTTATGACTTTGAAAAAGAATTTCTTTTCATCTGTACAGTCAGATTATATAGGAGACTTTTTACCATTGAGATACATTCTTATCAAGATTTTTTTTTCTATTTTATAAATAATGGTATTAGTAGACATAGGCTGAGGCTCTCCTGTGTCAGTGCCAAAGGAAACAATATAATAGGCATTTGCAGTGAGGACTTAGCTAGATAGAGCCTATCTTGTTTTTCTTGCTTGCCTTTAATCAATGCTCATATTCTCTTAATACTTTCTTATCCATCTTTTGTGGGCACTGTTTGTGAATTTCCTTCCTTTCTTCTTTTTCTTTTTTGTGACAGTGTTTCTGTTTCCTTAATTTATCAAAGTGTCACATACAGCAGTCTTATTGTATTGTGCTAAAGACATTCTCCATTGGCTAGAGAGTCTGATGATAGTTTTCTTTCCTTTGGGATTAAGTAGGACATTGCTAGTTGTTTTGTCTTTGATGTGTTTCAGTTCCTAACTTTGTCTATCACTAAATGTTTTCTCTTTTAAATGGACTGAGCCCTTCTCCAAAGCAGAAATAGTGTTTTCTTTCAATGGAATTCCTGTCTATGACAATATCTATTCTTTATTGTGACATTTTAAAAATTTTGAAAATTTATTTCAATTTTTTAGAGGCAGGGTCTATCTACATTGCCCAGGCTAGAATCAAACTCCTGGGCCAAAGTGATCCTCCTGCCTCAGCCTGCCAGGTAGCTGGGACTATCAAGGTGTACCACTGTGCCCAGCTCTGTGACTTTTGACTTTTGTACCTTTCTTGTATATAAGTGCCTGCAGAATCCTTTTCTCTTTGTTTCATTTTTTTTTTTTTTTTGTCTTTTAGACAGGAGTACTTGGTCAAGGAGCAGAGAAAACACACAAGGTTTTTGTGATCAAGAATGACATAAGCTACAGATCTCATTTTTATCATTATCCACTAAATAAGTACATCTTTTTTTTTTTTTTTTTACCTGTTTCATTACAGGGGGAGTGATTTTTCCAGATGCCACATAAAGCTTTCAGGAATGTCTTTCTTTTGGGCTTGCTAGGATAAAATTAAATGGGACAAATCCATGAACAACTTATATGTCCCATTTTTTTTCTTGTAAGATTTATTAATCTCTGGTACATTTCTTTTATAGAAGCAAATTTTGAGATCATTAAAGTGATAAGTGCTGAGAATAGCACCAATAAGTGCAGCCATAGGTACCTTTAGTATTTTTTACTTTCTGAAGATTGATCCTGTCTATTGCCTATTTCAGTTTTTTATTGGATATGATAGACCTTCTGATCATTATTATTTCAGAACAAATAGCTAGTGAGTTATTTATACAGCAGGTAAGCGCCAAATAAAGATTTTGATAGAATTTTGATAGAATCACTTGATAAGTTCTAATACTGATTCATCCCTAGCTACCTGCTTCACGTATGAGCTTAGCAAGATGAGTCTCTATCAGTATCATCTTCCTCAATAACCCCTTTGGCTTTTGTGAATGGACTGGAGGATTAAAACCCAGTAAGGATTAAAACCCTAAGTAACATGGAGTGAATTTGTTGATTGGTTTTTTTTAAAATTTTATTTATTTTATTATTATTTTTTTAATTAATTAATTAATTTTTTTGAGACAGAGTCTCGCTCTGTTACTCGGGCTAGAATGCCATGGCATTAGCCTAGCTCACAGCAACCTCAAACTCCTGGGCTCAAGCAATCCTTCTGCCTCAGCCTTCTGAGTAGCTGGGACTACAGGCATACCGCCACCGTGCCTGGCTAATTTTTTCTATATATATTAGTTGTTCAATTAATTTCTTTCTATTTATAGTAGAGACGGGGGTCTCGCTCTTGCTCAGGCTGGTCTCGAACTCCTGAGCTCTACTCTGGGTTTTGCTCTTTAACTCATTCTAAGTTTTCTCATCAATATACTCAGCCTCTTGGAGCCTCTGTTTATTCATCTCTAAAATGAGGATATCGGTGTCATTGATCTCTTTGGTCCCCTGCTTTAGTAGTCTATAATTTCTTATTTTAGAAATTAGAGAAAGCCTCACAATATCTTTGCTCTGGGCATAAGGCGTCGCAAT